CCTCTTCAGTCACTGGGGCATCAAACAGGGTGTAATTACTGCCTATCAGGTTTGCTCCAAGGCAAATTGCTTCCATGTCCTACAATGACCTGCCTATGTGCTCTCAAGCTCTACATTACAATTTGGGGCAAAGATGACACTCCTGCATCTTCTACCTTTGATGGAGGCACCACAATTTTCATCTTAAAGGTAGTTGCTGTATTTAAGTGCTCACTTTTTGATTAACTCCATTTGAACTACCTCATTTGTAGGCAATTCTAGTTCCCGTCCGTAGACAGGAAAATTACAGCTAAAATGAAGATTATTCTTCACACAATGACACTTTGTTGTATGAGTTAAATTTCCACATACTCTAGAGTAAGTTTGAATGAAATGTATTCTGCTAATTGGCTGGATTGATTTCTTGCCTTGTAACCTAAATGGATTTAGTTTAGTGTTGGCTTGTTATGTATTACAACGGCTGGCCTGACGAACTGAAGTTTGTGCAACTCTTGTGCTTAAAGTTAAGCAGGTGAGTGTTTGCAGGCTTGGGGCCTAAATTTGTAATTAGTCAGTTTCTAGTTGGCTCTAACTTAGTTTTTTGTCCACCGACAGCATGGTTAATATTTGATCAGCAACCATGGCAGGTAACTGTGTTTTGCTGTAGCTACCGACGTAGTCTAACACAACATTGTCTTTATGTAACTGGTTTTACACTCTTTTTTGTCCCCAGTGTGTACAGGACCCTCCATGTAACCAATTTGGCCAGTTCTGCAGCTCTGTGTAGCAGAATATCCAAAAGCACACAGTCCCATATGCTATTGCTGCTGCTCTGAGTGCTGGTGAGTCTCTTAGCACTCTCTCCCGCATTTAGACAATATGGAACAGCCACCTACATTGTCCCTAATTGCACTGATACAAACACAATTAGTCAGGTGTGTGTGGATGCACAAGCATGCTTGACACATGATTTTTGTAATCAGGTCATGTGAGAGCATCACAAACTAATCACAAAAACAGGATTATACTTTCAGCCAAGACAGGGCTGAACCGGTCAACTCTGCACCAAGATATACAATTAACCATCCGAAACAGGAAAACGAAACTTACTTGCCTGAGAAATTATCCCCTACAAAGTAGATAAAAGTATGCAGCTGCTTTTGGGGGAACCAATGGCAGTACCACACATAATTACACTATGCTGCCAGGAAGGAGAGGAGAGATGCTAGAAAACACTGGAGAAGCAGTATCTCCACATATTCTAACATCTTGGTTCCCTGATTTTCTAAAGAGATATTGATCTATGTGTGTGTTCATGCTGGAGACAGAACCATGTAAATAAAGTAATTTTGAGATGTTTGTGACTAAGACCCAGATCCACACAAGGACTTAGGTGCGTTCCTCACACTTTAGGCACAGAAATCCCTAAATTTAGGTACCACCGAGCACCTCAAAACCCCTGCTGTCTAACTCTAGAGGTGCCCAAAATCTCTCAGTGCCTAAATTTTTGCTGTAAAATTCCCCTAGCTGCTAAGTTTCTGCCACTGGGCATGCACACAATGACTTGGTATAGAGGCCTGGGTGCCTGTCTCACACCTAAGCCCCAGTGGGATGCTTAAACCAAGGTGTTCCTGATCTGGTAGACATTTTAAAAGCACACCTGCCTAACTCCATACAAAACAGCTGGTGGGGGGAGGAGGCAGCAGTAGCTGCCTTCTTTATAATCTCTAGCTCAATAGTTAGGGCATTCACCTGGGAGGTGGGAGACCCAAGTTCAAATTCCCTCTCTGCCTGATGAGAAGGGAATTGAACATAAGTTTCCCATCTCTCAGCTGAGTGCCTTTACCACTGGGCTATAGAATCATCCTCTTTGGCCAAAATGCATATTTAATTATTTATACAAAGTGCAATAACTTCAAAAGGAAAAGTTGAGAGGCACCCATATCAGAAGATCCCATCTCCCTATAGTCAGGGCACTCTCATGAAGAGGAAACCCACGTTCATATTTTGAAAAATGAAAATGGCCAAGATACCTACACTTGAAAAGCAGCCAATACACATGTACATTACCTTTTTTCATAAGGATTATTAATATTGTACCAGTTCTTTAGAAAGCATGATGGGATATAAGGAGAAAAGAGGTAGCTACAAAATCAGCTGAGACAGCCACAGTTTAAGGAAATGCCTACAAACAATTTAAAAGACAATCTTATTCGGCCACATTTTTAAACTCATTTGTAACATCCATGGCATATAAAACTATGAACAACTTAATCATGCAGAGAAGTGATAGAAGAAATCGTGTTTTTCAGGTTTCTTTCTAAGGAACACCCCAATAGCTAAGCAGCAAGGTGCCTGAGTGGAGTCAGCCTGCCACTTCTCAATAAGACCAAGCGATAAACTTATTGCAGGAGTTAAAGGCCAAATGAGAGAAGATGCAAAACATTCTAGAAGAGAAATGTTGGTGGTCCAGACATCAGAGTTGAATCACATTCTTATTAAGTGAATGAATTTGATGGAAAATTGAAGCCATTGAAAAGAGATTGAAACATGTGGAGAAACACTATCCCATGACACACTGGCAGCTGACTTGTAGTTTTTAGAAAAAACCTTCCTGAAGCAGATCAGATGAGAATATTTTCCAACCCATCACCATGCTCAGTGTCAGGTCCACAAGGACCAATTCTGACATGTGCATATACAAGTAAGATGAAGTGTGATCCTCAGCTCTAAGCACTGATAATTCTCAAGCACCCTGCACACCTATTCACTGAAGGCCAAATTTGGAAAGGTATTTAGGCACCTAAAGATGTAGACAGACACCTAGAGGGATTTTCAAAGGTACTACACACCTATTGTCAAATGAAGTCCTACAACTAGCTCTGTCTCCAGCAGACTAATGAACACAGACAAGTTACAGCAGAACTGCCTGATTGGCTGAAGGAACCAGCAGGTGTTCTCTGAAGCCCAGCAGCAACAAGTTACTGGCTGCTGCTCAATGCTTATGCCTGCAGCTGTGATTACTCCTATGCCTGCCTTGCTCCAGCCTTACTTCTACTTCATTCTTATTCTGCTCCTGATTCCACCTCTGACCCTTGGCTGTTGTTACGGGCTTCTGGTTGTTGACTTCAGACTCCAACTCTTGGCTCTGACTCTCACCACTAGCTCAGACCACACCCACAGCCTGTTATTGCTCATATAACAAAATAAAGTAGAATATCCATGTAATAGTTCAACTGAATAAATTAAAAACATTTTTTATGTAATAATGCACAATGGTAGATGAAATTCTTCTAAGGGAACTGTGCATACCAACTCATTTTCTTCATGCTGGTTATTTATTAGGCTGAGAAGTAATGATGGAACAGAGATAAACCTTCAGAATAACAGCTTAATTCTCCATTTCTTCACTGGAATGTGGTAGTAATAGGGTTGCTAACCTTCCCGGTTTTGCTGGGAGTCTCCCGGAATCAGACTATCTCCTGCTGCAGCCAATCCAGGAGATTTCAAAATGTTAAAATTCCAGCATTGCAGCGGGGCTAAGGCAGGCTCCCTGCCTGCCGTGGCCCCACACCGCTCCCAGAAGTGGCCTGCATGTCCTGGGGGGGTCAGGCCTGACTCTGCAGCTCTCGTTGGAACTGCAGCCAATGGGATCTGCAGGGGCAGCATGCGGAGACCCCCATGGCTCCCCCATAGGAACTACTGCCAGAAGGATGTCAAGTATCAGGGGGTAGCCGTGTTAGTCTGTATCTACAAAAACAACAAGGAGTCTGGTGGCACCTTAAAGACTAACAGATTTATTTGGGCATAAGCTTTCGTGGGTAAAAACCTCACTTCTTCAGATGTTACATCTGAATGTGGTAGTAGCCTACCACTTCTCAATAAGATGTAACATCTGAAGAAGTGAGGTTTTTACCCACGAAAGCTTATGCCCAAATAAATCTGTTAGTCTTTAAGGTGCCACCAGACTCCTTGTTGTTTTTGCCAGAAGGATGTGTCGGTTGCTTTCCGGAGCCGCCCGAGGTAAGTGCTGCCTGGCTGAAGCCTGCACCCCTCACCCCCTCCTGCACTCCAACCCCCAGCCCAGAGCCTGCATCCAAAGTCCCTCCCAGAGCACATATCCTGAACCCCCCCATGCCCCAGCCCCAAACCAAACTCCCTCCCAGACCATGCACCCTTGCCCCAGCCTGGTGAAAGTGAGAGCAAGTGAGGGAAGGAAGGGGGGAAATGGAGTGAGGGGGCGTGGCCTCAGAGAAGGGGCAGTCCTTGGTGTAGGGGGCAGGGCAAGGGTGTTTGGGTTTGTGGGTTGAGACAGTTATGGAAATTTAGGAAATGGCCTGCCGATAAATAACAGCAAGGAGAGTCAGTCAATATCAAATATATTCCAATAAATTTTTTGCAGAGATTTAGAAAGAATGAGTTTGGATTATGTGGGGTACTCATTATTGCATAGCAATATACCCTATTTACGACGGTTTCTAAGTACCTGGGACCCAGTCCTGCACTCCTTATTCAGTTAATACTCCCTGCACTTCAGGGAAGGATGGTTTCAGTGATTATTTGGGGGCTGGGGGGGGGGGGGGAAGAGACGAAGGGGGTTAACAACAACATCTGGATATTTACGCCACGCTGTGGACAAGGCAGATCACAAAGCTCAGCGGGAAGTGAGCGGGAGCGCAGGGATCAAGCCAGCTGTGATTGAGAAGATCGGCCTGTGCAGGTGCCTTCCCGAGGAGATAAAGTGACTCTGTCCTGGGGGGAAAAGGCCTTTCCAGGATGTGACTGGATCCCCCTCCCACCCCGACCCGAAGGAAGGAAACTAGCGTCATCCTCCAGTCAGCAACAAACCCACCCACCCCTCCGGCAGGGGTACGGGACTGGCTGCCCCGGCCAGCGCCTTGCAGCGGGGAGCGGCCTGGCGCCGGCGGCCCGGGCAGAGGCGCGCCGCACGGGCGGTCGCGGCAGGGCGAGGAGCGCAGGCTGCGGGGCAGACTTGGGGTGAAACGCTCCCGGGGCCCCAGTCAGCGGCGGTGGCGAAGCTGGGGCCGGCCTCAGCGCAGCTCTCGCCCCCTGCGGCCCCTCCCTCCCGGTGCCATGGAAACGCGGCCTATTGTCCCCAGCGCGGCGGGCCGCCTGGCGCAGCGCGGAGCTCCGCGTGGCCCACGTCCGGCCGCCTTCCATGGCTTCGGCCAGGCCCTACTGCCTCCCGCAAGTCCCTGCCTCGAGCCCCGCCCTTTCCTTCCCCTCTTCCTCGGCGGCGGCGGCGGTCCTAACCCGGGCGCGGGCGCGGGCCGAAGCGCAGCTGCGCTCCGCGGTAGCCTGCGAGCGGGCCATGCGCTGGAGCGAGGTAACTCCGCCCGCCTCCGCCAGAGGGCGCTGGGCAGGGGCCGGGCGGGATGGGGATCCCCCCCAAGGCTAAGCAGCCCCCGGCTGGGTCGGGGCAGGAATGGGAGACCCTCGTTGGGAAAGGGTGTCTTATTCACGTTAGATATGCTGACTCCGTTAACTAGCCAGAAGTAACAGAGTGTCCTGTGGCACCTTTAAGACTAACAGTCGTATTCACGACGAAGTGGGCATTCACCCACGAAAGCTTATGATCTAATACATCTGTTAGTCTTAAAGGTGCCACAGGACTCTCTGTTGCTTTTTACAGATCCAGACTAACAGGGCTACCCCTCTGATACTAGCAAGAAGTGTTCTTCATCCCAGCCACAGCAAGTAACCCAGGACAATGATAACTTTGCTGTGGCACTAATTTGTGGCTATTTGTGCTCTGTCATGTGCTCTCATAGGCAGATGAGGTTGAGCCTGGTGTCCAGAGGAGCTGAGTTCAGCGTTTGCACTCTGCAGTGCTTCTCATTTCTGACTCACAAAAACTCCCAGAGTCTGATGCTGGCTTTAGGTCATTTTGCCATGTATGTTTTTTGCTTTCAGGTTGTTGAACATTATACAGCACTCTTGAAAACTTTGAGCAAAGAGGAACTTCCTAAAGACTTTGAGCCTGGTCCTTACTATTCACAACTGGTAATTTTAAAAACATTTCTCAAGTGACGAGCAGGATTGTCAGCTCTTGCAATTTTCTTACAAGTCTTCTAATAGATGGTCTTTCTTAAAATCCCAGCTTCTGAAGTGATGTGATTATGTGAAAATATCAGCTTTCATTTTTTAAAAAAAGTTTCTAACCCGTCACGTTTGCAGAGAAAATGGGAACCCTAAAGGCTCAATAACCAGAAGGCAAATAAAAAGAATCATTTAAAAAAAGTCTCATGACTTTTAATTCAATCACATGATTTTGGGAGACTTTGATCATGACTTTTGAACATTCAGGATTGACAGTACTGGACAAATGTTGTTTTACAAAATGATACAATGGCAGGCTCCAGTTCGGCAACCAGATCTTTGTGGATGGGCCCTCGATATCACTAGGGCACTACATGTGTGCAAGAGTTCATCTGGATTTGGTTGCAGGATTGGAGCCTTCATTTGGATAACACCAACATGTGACTGTATTATATTTTAAGAACATATAACTGAATTATATGTTTGATCCACATTTATCTGACTAGATGCCAGGGAAGCTGAGAGAGCACACTGTCTGGTCAGATGAAAGAGAGAGGCAGAGCTGTTAGCTTGTTGATGCATGGTTGTGCTGGAGAGCACAAGGTAGTGGTGGAGAGCCCGTGCTACTGTCAGTGTTGTCATCCCTGCCATGTTGATGTATCTGATGGGATGGGCCCTTTGTGCATCAGATAGAGTACTTGGGGGAGAGCTGGTTACAGCCTTCAAAAGGTGCAGTAATATATTCCCTCATAGGATTAAATTCTGACCCCATTGAAGTAAATGGTAAAACTCCTAATGACTTCACTGTAGGGTTGCCAACTTTCTAATCGCACAAAACCGAACATCCTAGCCCCACCCTTTCTCCGAGGCCCCGTCCTCTGCTCACTACATTCCCCCTCCCTCGTGGCTCACCCTCCCCTACCCTCACTCACTTTCACGGGGCAGGGGCAGGGTGTTGGGGTGTGGGAGGGAAGGGGTGAGAGCTCTAACTGGAGGTCTGGGCTCCAGGGTGGGGCCAGAAATGAGGGACTCAGAGTGTGGGAGGGGCCAGTGGGAGTGCGGAGCTGGTGCTTGGGGCAGGGGCAGTGCACGGAGCTCAGTGGCCCCCTGCCTAGGAGCTGGACCTGCTGGCTGCTTCCGGGGAGCAGCGTGGTGCCAGGACAGGTAGGGACTAGCCTGCCTTAGACCTGCAGCACTGCCGACCAGACTTTTAACGGCCCGGTCAGTGGTGCTGACATATGTTTCTTCATTGCAACTACAAATACTTGTCTTTAGAAACCTGAAATAAATTAATGCAGGTTGGTTATGCTGTTCGGTTGAGGATTAAATCATTTTCTCGTCCAGGCTTTAGAGACAGCTGCATCTGGCAGAATTTTAGGGAGGAAATTTGCACCTGTTCTTACCTCGGCAGATTTACAACTGTGCCATTTTATTAATATGGGGCCTGCTTAGTTTTGTGTTCAGTTTGCAGTATTTTAAATTAATTTAGGTGATATACAACATATCTCTCTTGTAGCTTATTAGAGGGACTACTGATTTTGTAATGTGAAATATTAATGATATTATAGTTCTCTTCTGGACAATGTATTTTAATGTTCCAGATAATCATTGAAGGGCCAGACCTTCAGCTGACGTAAAGTGGCATAACTCCATTTATTTCAGTGGAGTTAAGCTAAGAATCTAGCCCGAAATAAATAGTACCTAGGGAGTAGCTGAGGGAATAAATTTTAAAATATTTTAGAATACAAATGTGTGAAACAACGATTGCCCAAGAGAAATGGTAAAAAGGCAGTTTAATTGGTTTGAAACAAATTAAAAACCGGTCCTAAACATGTTCAGAACCTCAGCAATACTAAAACTTCAATAATAATTTGAGATTCTGGTTGTGTATTTCAGCTGTTTGAAACCTATTATCATTTAGCTGTAGCTTTCCAAAGACAGAATCACCATAAGGAAGCAGTGCAAGAGCTTAATAAAGCAATAGACGTTGCATCTATCCCTAAGGTAAATCTGTAGTAGTATTTATAGTATATACATTGCATAATGAGTACCTTTTTTATGTAAAAATTCAATCCATGATTAAATCAAAGGAGAGTGCTTTAAGATATACTGTCCTGTGTCTACGTTGTGGTTTTATTATGTTATATTTATTCTAAAGTGAATGACAGCTGCATCTTAGAGTTACAGCTACTGTACATCAAAATGAGATCATCCAGTATAATAAACACCACTACATTTGGAGACTCAGATCAGACAGAGACACAAATAATCCATTTTCTGAATATATTCGATTATCTTATGCTTGCACATTGCATTAAGCATATTAGAAATTGACCTGTAAGACATCTTTGAATAAAATTAGAGGGTGTTTTAGGTAATGGGAAAGAGGAAGAAGCTGAAATTTCCCATTTCCTACCCCCACAACCTTCACTCATTAGTTTAATTCTGAGTGGTCACTATATTTGAAAATGTGGGATGGACCTTGACTGCTGCAAATGTTGGGACCCTTTATAATTATGCATCAGTGATGTCATATCTACATCTAATGCAGGGGTGGGCAAATCTTTTGGCCTGAGGGCCGCATCGGGTTTCGGAAATTGTATGGAGGACCGGTTAGGGGAGGGGGTCGTGGCCCGGCCCCC